TGTAAACTGAAGTTAGTGTTGGGTACAGCGGTAGTCAGGCTTTGAGATGACCCACAATGATTCTCACCTTCTGATATTCTTCCCTTTGTGTATTCCACTCTCACATCGAATGGGGCTGACCTGTATAACCACTAGGATATTATAAAAATGAAAGTATACAACTTCTGAGGCTACATTTCTGGAAAAGGCATGCCTTCTGCCTCACACTTTTGGATCATTCACTCAGGGGAGAAGACAGCTGTTGTGTCATAAGGACAGTCAAGACCCTAAGTCCTATTGAGAAGTCCATGTGGTGAAGAACTGATGTTGCAGGAAGGGGAACCCCTTCAAGGGCCCAAGAATGGGCTCTTGTCTAACACTTGGAAATGAATTATCTGAAGAGACACACATGCTGACAAAGCAAGAGACTATTGGGAAGGGGTGCCTGGGTGGAGAGTAGCAGGATAAGGCAACATAGAAGAACTTCTCTGCCACGCGGCTCAGTCTCCAGTTTATAGTAATGGAGTTAGTTTCTGGGTTGTCTCTGGCCAATCATTCTGACTCAGGGTCCTTCCTAATGGTGTATTGCTCAGCCAAGTGAGAAGGATTCTGGGAGGTTGGTAGGACATATGAACTAGTATCTCCTCTCTCCTTTTGACCTTTCCTGAATTCTTCCTGTTGGTGATAGCTTGTTAGTTCCACATTCTTTACCAGGACCTCCTGTTGTAAGATAACTCATACACATGGTTACTATGGTGCCTAGCCAGTGTAGGTTGTTTTGGTCAGTGATTCCCTTAACACTGAGGTCTCTTGCCATCATATATGTGAGTGAGTCATCTTGGAGGCAGATTCTCTAGTCCCAATAAAGCTTCAGATATCTGCAGCTCAGCCAATATCTTGAACACAAACTCATGATAGAACTACCTAAGATAGAACTACCCAACTAAGCCACTTCTGAATTCCTAACCTATGAAATATATATAAGATGATAAACATTTATTGTTGTTTTTGAGTCATAAATTAAGGAGGGAGGAGCTATAATTGGTTTTGGTTATACAACAATAGATAACTAATAAACAGTAATTATTAGGTTGGTATAAAGGTAATTGCAGTTTTTGCATCGTTGAAATTTGCCACTTGATGTTAAAATGCATTCTTAATAAATGTGATTATGTTGTACATCATTTCAATGTGCATTTCTCACTTTATGCTTTTTTTTTGCTAATTACTTTGCATGCATGCTAAGTCGCTTTGGTCGTGTCCAACTCCTTGTGACCACATGGACTGCAGCTCACCAGGCTCCTCTGTCCATGGGGATTCTCCAAGCAAGAATACTGGAGTGGTTTGCCATGCCCTTCTCCAGGGAATCTTCTCGACCCAGGGAAATGACTTACTACTTGCTGTTTATTTTATATTAATTTTGGACTATGGAAATAATGTTAGACAAAAAGCAAATTCAAGCGATTTTCTTATTTGAGTTCAAAATGAGTCATAAAGCAGCAGAGACAACTCGCGATGTGAACAACACATTTGGCCCAGGAACTGCTGATGAATGTACAGTGCAGTGGTGGTTCAAGAAGTTTTGCAAAGGCGATGAGAGCCTTGAAGATGAGGAACATAGTGGCCAGCCTTCAGAAGCTGATAGCAATCAATTGAAAGGATCATTGAAGCTGATCCTCTTACAGCTACACAAGATGTTGCCAAAGAAACATCAACCATTTTATGGTCATTGAGCATTTGAAGCAAATTGGAAAGGTGAGAAAGCTTGATAAGTGGGTGTCTCATGAGCTGATTGCAAATTAAAAAAAAATCATTTTGTCATGTCGTCTTCTCTTATTCTTCGCAACAACAAACCATTTCTCAATCAGATTGTGGCGTGTGACAAAAAGTTAATTTTATATGACAACTGGCAATGACCAGCTCAGTGGTTGGACCAAGAAGAAGCTCCAAATCACCTCCCAAAGCCAAACTTCCACTAAAAAAAGGTCATGGTCACTGGTGGTCTGCTGCCGGTCTGATCCACCTTTCTGAATCTGGCAAAACCATTACATCTGAGAAGTATGCTCAGAGCAAATCAATGAGATGCACTGAAAATTGCAACACCTGCAGCTGGCATTGGTCAACAGAAAAGACCCAATTCTTCACAACAATGCCTGACTGCATGTCACACAACCAGCACTTCAAAAGTTGAACGATTGGGCTATGAAGTTTTGCCTCATCTGCCATATTCCCCTGACTTCTTGCCAACTGACTACCACTTCTTCAAGCATCTTGACAGTTTTTTGCAGGGAACATGCTTCCACAACCAGTAGGATGTAGAAAATGTTTTCCAAGAGTTCGTCAAATCTCGAAGCATGGATGTTTATGCTACAGGATTAAACCAACTTATTTCTTGTTGGCAAAAATGTGTTGATGGTCCCTATTTTGATTAATAAAGATGTGTTTGAACCTAGTTATAATGATTTAAATTCAGTTTGACAGATCACCAGCCCAGGTTGGATGCATGAGACAAGTGATCGGGCCTGGTGCACTGGGAAGACCCAGAGGGATCGGGTAGAGAGGGAGGTGGGAGGGGGGATCGGGATGGGGAATACATGTAAATCCATGGCTGATTTCATGTCAATGTATGACAAAAACAACTACAATATTGCAAAGTAATTAGCCTCCAACTAATAAAAATAAATGAAAAAAAAGGAAAATTTGCCAATGAAATTTTTATCAGTTTTCCTTAGTTACCTATTAAAATAATTTTTCTTTGAAATGAATTCAATTTGTATCCTATGTAAAGAGAGGAACATCAATTCCTTTGGTCAGTGAAATACTCTGTTTACTAATACTGGACACATTAGGTCTTGGGTACAGTCAGTTCTAAGTCAATAATAGCCATGTCTATTTTACAGGTATTCATTAAAAGTATTTTTGAAGAAGTCTGATTCATGTTTCAGGAGGAGTCTTTCTGTTGACTCTTCATTGACTCTTCTACTTTATGAGATATTAATGTGTACCATTACACTTAATTTGTTCTTTCTCCTGTCTCTCCTCTGAAACCATTTTACTACACAATTTTAATTTCCTCAAGAGGAAAAATTACTGAGTTGTTTCTGAATTACCCTTCACTAGACTTGCAAACAGTTTTAAGAACCACTTTGAAGTTTCTACCCAAAAGTTCTATCAAATTTCATGTAAGTCATTTTTTTTTAACTCAAATGTCATTTCAACCCTGGGGAAATAATCTTTTACCTTGAAAGATATAAACATTTCAAACTAAAGAAAAATTTTTGTATTTCTGAGTCCAAGTGAAATGAGTCATCTGGCAACTAAAGAACATCTCAACCCGACTATCCTATCTGAATGCTACTGTGGTAAAAATTGGTCTTTCTTGTCCAATAGACTGCTCATTTAATTTGAGGTAGAACTCTCATTAAAAACATCCCTATTTTAGAAGATTTGAATTTTCAAAATATAAATTAGGAGGTAATTCTTTGTTTAATGAAAATATGAACCAAAGGATGCATTTAGATGGTAGGACCTCTAGAGTTCTATTTACAAATGTTTGTTTATATACAGATTTAATAAAGTAAAATATAACTCACAGACATGTATTTATTCACATATTTTATATTGTGAAAACACTATTGCCTATTTTAAGCTTCTTGTAAGAAATTCTGATTTTTCCCACTATTTATTTGATATGTATTTCCTTCATAATGTATTGCTTTTATCCTTGCTATTCCAGCTCTGAACTCAACAGATGTTCAGTATTTCAAGTCTTCTAGCTCATATTAGTGAAGACTTCATAATTTAACTTAAACTTGTTTATGGAAACTCTATGCCAAGAGAGATCAACTTCTATTGAAAAAAGAATGGATTAGAGTTAGAGATGAGACTTTGTATTGTGATAAAATACACATAATATACAATTTACCATTAGTGACATGTAGTGTGCTCACAATGTTGCACAACCATCACCACTATCTAATTCCAGAAAATTTTCATCAACCCAAAAGGAAATCCTTTTGTCACACCTCTTTTCTCCTTCCCTAGTCCCTCCAGTAACCACCAATCTGTTTTCATTCTCTATAGATTTGCCTATTCTGGATATTCCAGATAACTAGAATCCTACAATATGTGACTTTTTAGCTTAATGTTTTCAAGGATCATTCATGTAATGGTACTTCATTCCATTTTATGGCTGAATAATACTCCACGGTAGGGATAGACTACATTTTGTTTATCCATTCATCGGTTGATGCGCATTTGGGTTTTTTATGCCTTTTGGCTATTGTGAATAATGCTGCCCTGAACAAAAACATTATGTGCATATTTTTGTTTGAGTGGTTGTTTTTAATGCTCTTGAATAAACACACACACACACACACACACACACACACATATACTCAGGAGTTGAATTGCTGGGCCATGGGGTAATTGAGATGAGACAGTTTTGAGTGAAATCTTACTAAATCAATAAATAGTCCCTTTTTTGAGTAGTGGTCATATTGTTTCTCTTTTGTTATGTTAGCAAGTTTTCTGGACTCCTACATTTCTCTAGGAAATGTGGCATGGGAGTTTATGGCTGAAGACTACAACGTAGCGTCACCAACCCACACCCAACAAGCATCACCAACCCACATGCAACATGAGAATTAACCATTTTTTATCCAAAGTACCCAGTGATATAAAGGAAGTGGAAGGTTCTCAGCTCTAGCAGGTGTGCTAGCATGCACCTTCAAGCAATGAAGGTACTGGCATGTAACCAAAGTGTTTCAATAATAACTTTGGAGGCAGATAATCTTAGTCAAATTACAGATGGTTGCCTTGGTTCACTCACTTTGTATCTTGGTTTCTCCATCCGTAAAATGAAGGTAATAAACACTGCTTCTCAAGATTGTTATAAGAGCAGAGTCTGGCACATAGTCGGCATTTAAATAAATTTTAGTTCTCATTCCCTCTTATTTTATTGGACTCTTCAAATTGTTCTTCAAGACAACAGTATTTTTCTTCCCATTGTTTTCTTTCAGGTGAAAATTAAACTGCCAAACACCAACCCTTCTGATATTAAAATCGACATTCAGGAGACGATCTTTGACCTCCGTACTCCTAATAAGTGAGTAAAACTTGGAGCTAGAATAATGAATGTTATAATGTTAATGAATCTTTAGTCAATATCCTCTATAAAAGTGTATGTAGTTATTTTGTATCACCCCCAAAGTCAGAAGAAAAGTGAAAAAGTCAGTTAATCATTCGGATGTTTGATCTGGTTAATATAAATATAAATATATTTGTAAATACTTAGATTTTTTACCACTTTGCATGCATAGATTTGGAGTAGGTTGATACCACCAAAACATAGTCCCTGACATTCAGATGCAGTTTGCTTATCTGTGAGGAGAAATAGCTAGAGGTGAAAATCTCTTAAGTTGTAAGTCTTGTGTGTGATATTTTGGTACAGTGATGGCATGAAAGAAGCAGTCTTTAAACATTTTGGATACTGTGGGGCTCTAAAGTTGTTTGATTATATTCATCTGAAAATCAATGAAAAGTCTTATCAATTACTTAAAACAAAAATCTAACAGCTAATTTATCACTGGATCCTCAAGTTGCATGAATACATTTTAAATTAATGCAGGTGATAATGGAATAATTCAATTAAACATTTGATATTTTCAAAAATAGTCTTGTGATTATACAAGTTCAAATCATGTTCCCCAAACACAATATATAAGGTAAAATTGTGATAAAATGTTTACCCTGAAACCTGGATAAACCAACCCTGTATCTCAAAACTAACTATATAAGGAGGGAATCGATAGAACCTGGCATGTGCTAGATAAAATATCTGAATATCTCACTGCTTTGTTCACTTTTCAGCTGGATGTATAGCAGTTAGCACACTTGGTTGACTGCAGTGGTCCTTTCTCTGTTGACTCATAGACATTTCAAAATGGGTGTGGGGAGCAGTTAGCTGCTAGCATATTATCTTCCTTCTGTTATCAGTACCTATAGTTCTTCTTTGTTGATCATAGGGCTTTGGGAAAATAATAAAATTAGATCTCTGCTACAAAAGACTTCTATATGTAAACACACCAATGTACACGCATAGCTTAACCTTGATTTCTACAATAGAGGAATTTAACCACAAATTACCTACAGAGAAATACATAGCAAATATTTTCTCCTTACTTAATATAATTTAAAAAATGTATTCACTCAAAAATTGTTTCATGTTATGAAAATCACATTCCTTATTCTCACCATTGACATCAAGGAGTATAGTAGTTTCTTCATTACATGCTGTACGCATATTTACTCTTTCCACACAACCTTTGCAAGGAAAGTTGGTTAAATGAACAGTCAATCTTCCATGATATTTGCGCACTTGTTAAAAGCACAGACATATCTACACACCATGAAGTTAATTTCCATTCCCATAGTGGTTCTCACTGTCTCCATCAATCTTTAGGCAACTGCTCTGGCTATGCTGTCATTCCAGATATCTTTCAAAGCCCACTAAATGAAAGACTCACACAGAGATATTTTTCCATATAGTAATTGGGCCACAGTAGGTCACTTGGATCATACAGTACTTACATATTAAATGCTCAGCACATAAAAGTACTGTCTGTTAAGAAAAAGATCATTAATTAAGATAGAAGAGAGAAGATAGAATTAAAATTTTTATCACTTTTCCTGAAAACTCGAACATTCTTTGAAGCCCTGTTATTATCTGAACTTGTATTATTGGAAATGTGTCTTGCTTTGAGTTCGCCAATATTCACATCTACTTTCTTTAGTTTCTAACTTTGACACCCTGTAACACTATGCTTACTGGTTTCAAGAAGCATTACAGTGGACATTCTGCTCATGAACCTATAAGGGAAAACGAGTGGAATTATTTTAACTAAATTGACTAGATATCAGTCTATTGATAGTCAATTGCATTAAAATTATGAATAAAACCCAGATTTTTAGCATTATAGAATGAAAAGAAATGTTTGCTGACTCCTTCCTTTTAAAAAACTGGTTGTTTTGGCATATAGATTCCCAACAGAGTAGATAGAAAGGAGGAAAGATAGGGGAAATTGTATAATGTCTCAAAATCTCCTGACTTTATCTTCATATGGGGTTTCATTATTTTTTAAGATGGATTCTAAGAATTTCATCAATGAATTCCTTGAATGTGATAATAAAAACACATTCTAAAGATAAATATGAGTTAATTTCTGGTTGTGTGTTACTTTAGATTATCTCACCTTTGCTGTGCTCCTTTGATTTAGATTGAGTTGACTGATATTCAAAGACATAAACACCTAAAAAAAAGTTTTCTAAATGGAATAGTCAATTGCAGCTCAGTAGCTGTTTCTGCTTTCTTTGAAAATAGTTATGTCTCCAACAGGAAACCTTAAAAAAGCCATGTCTTTTTTAAGCCCAGATATGTAAATCAAATAATTCATAAAATACATAAAATAAAAAGTGCATTATGTGAATATGCACAGAACAAGGTTGTTGTATATTTAAATCTCTTGGCAAGAAACATCAACTTGAATTCTCTAATATAAATGTAAGCATGTAAGTCTCTAAACTTGAATTCACTGTATAGATAATTTTTTGTTTTTACTTTCATATATTATTATTCGCATTTAAATAATTTCTAAAGAAAAGCAACACTTGGAGAGACATTTTTTTTTCTTTTTATTTTATACTGGAGTATAGCCAATTAACAATGTTGTGATAGCTTTAGGTGGACAGCAAAAGGACTCAGCCAAACATATGCATGTATCCGTTCTCCCCCAAACTTCTCTCCTATCCAGGCTACCACATAACATTGAGCAGAGTTCCCTGTGCTACATAGTAGGACCTTGTTGGTCATCCATTTAACACTGGATAAACATTTGATCAGTGACTAAACTTCAGTTTCTTAAAAAGCAAATATTTTTCAATGTAAAGGCAGAGAGATTGGGTTTAAATGTTCACTCATATTTTATTATAGTACTGATCTATACTAGTTATTCAAATATCATTTTGTAGTGACCTGTTTGCTTTTCATTCATTTATTCATTCACTCAACAAATAATACTTTCCTTCTTTTAAGAGCCTATATAAGTTTCTACTCTACACAGTTTCTACTCAAAATTTTCGTATGTGAAGCTATGCTACTAAGGACTAGACAGAACTTTAGGGATGGATGGATCATTCCAATGGCCACTGTCTGTTTTTGAATTTACTTCTCTCTGGACAGAGAAGTGCACATTATCATTGGAACTTCTTCAGCTGATTTATAGTTGTCTTTTAGTGCAATGAAACTGTCACCACTGAGCTTTGCTTTCTTTTATAAGTGAATATATTATCATTTGTAGAATAAGGGATGAAGCAAATCTAACTCTAGTACAACCTATATTGTAAACAACTTTAAAAAGATGGACTCTCAGGAACTCCCTGGCTGTCCAGTGGTTAGAACTTGACACTTTCACTTCCAAGGGCCTGGTTTAATCCCTGGTCAGGGAACTAAGATCCTGCAAGCTTCATGGCACAGTCAAAAAAAAAAAAAAAGATGGACTCTACATGGTTTTTCCACCTACTTTTTTTTAAAGATTCCAAATATTACAGGGTATATTAAAATACATTGCGATTTCATTACTTCAAATGGAGAGAATTGTTTCTCCTACCCCAAATATCTGGAATGGAACAAAAGTAACAGAAAACTTCTCCTTTAGGTTCCAAAGCTGTGTGATAAATACTTTTAATGAGTCCAGTTTCCTGAATTTAGGTCTTTGCAAATGAATAATGAGATTGATTTTCGAGGATTTTGTTTTCAAATACTAGTTCTTTGTACAAGTATTCAATAAATACTCCCTAAAAATAACCCAAAGTACCATATTCCTTTACCGATTTGGATCTTATACCTTCTAAAAGAGCTTTTCTGTCCACTTTCTATAGAGATCCTCAAGCCTTCTCTATTGAGAATGTGAGGTAACAAGTGCTTCATGTATTTAATTTTCTTCAGATACCAGCATGTGCTGACCCCATGCATAATTCAGATTCATACCATTATGACATTCTTATGGATGTCTCATCCCAGCCATGTGTCTGAAGCATACAGCTATCCAACAACAGAGCCATAAACCACAAACTACCCTCAGCAGTCTCTCACAGGAAATTTCTGTCAATGTAAAGTAGAAAGAACCAGAGGCAAGCAAAAGAAAGCACTTTCATTGATTTGGTATTGAAATCACTGCAGGCCTGAGTTTCAATAACTACACCTGGAATAGAGACTCAGTTTAAAGTAGTGTTAGCAGAATTATTGTAGAACTATTCGAATTTCAGATTTCTGTCAGGAAGTCACATTTCTTCTACACATAAGGATGACTGACAACAGATCTATCCAAACAACTTAAAGTTGCAGTGGTTCTATTTCTATGTGAATAAACATAGCCTGAGACTATGTTTATGTAATGCAAAATGAAGTCAATTTAGAAAAAAGCTTGCTTGCTTGTTAAGGCACTTCAGTCGTGTCTGTCTCTTTGTGACTCTATGGACTGTAGCCTGCCAGGCTCCTCTGTCCATGGGATTCTCCAGGCAAGAATGCTGGAGTGGGTTGCCATGCCCTCCTCCAGGGGATCTTCCCCAACCCGGTATCAAATCCGAGTCTTTTAGTCTCCTGCATTGAGAGGCAATCCAAACTGCTGCTTGGATTTTGAGGGCCAAAAAAAATGGTATACTGTTTGTGTTAATTAGTCATATTTCTGATCCAGTATTCATACTGTCTAGTTTTTTGGTTCCTAACATTGTGATGATATATATTGCTTCCCATTGCTTTTATTTAAAGTGGTATCTTCTTGATATCACTGATTCTAGGTTTTCATTTTGTTTTTCAGGAAGCTGCTGGTAACCCTTCCCCATCCTGTGGACTGCAGCAGTGCGAAAGCCTTCTATATCCTCGATACTGAGACTCTCGAAGTCACCATGACTATGAAACGAGAGTTGGATTTCATTAATTTCTTCTGAAACAGTATGGACAAGGATGAAAAGTGGCAAATAACACTGATTAAAAAATAAATAACTGAAAAAATTAGTCAATGTTTTCTGTCTTTATTATTCTGACATTTTTTTGCTTTATCTGTTAGTTTTTTTTAATTTTTTACTTTTTATTTATTTTTTTTCATTTATTTTTATTAGTTGGAGGCTATACTTTACAATATTGTAGTGGTTTTTGCCATACATTGATATGAATCAGCCATGGATTTACATGTGTTCCCCATCCTGATCCCCCCTCTCACCTCCCTCCCCATCCCATACCTTTGGGTCTTCCCAGTGCACTAGCCCTGAGCACTTGTCTCATGCATCCAACCTGGGCTGGCGATCTGTTTCACACTTGATAATATACATGTTTCAATGCTATTCTCTCAGATCATCCCACCCTCGCCTTCTCCCACAGAGTCCAAAAGTCTGTTCTATACATCTGTGTCTCTTTTTCTGTCCTGCATATAAGGTTATTGTTACCATCTTTTTATATTCCATATATATGTGTTAGTATACTGTATTGGTATTTTTCTTTCTGGCTTACATCACTCTGTATAATGGGCTCCAGTTTCATCCACCTCACCAGAACCAACTCAATTGTATACTTTTTGATGGCTGAGTAATATTCCATAGTGTATATGTACCACAGCTTTCTTTTTTTTTTTTTTTTGTCTGAAAAAGTATTTATTTTGCCTTAATTTTTTAAGGATATGTTCATTAGGTACAGAATTCTAAATTCACATTTTTTTATTTCCTTACATTATTTTGAAGATGTAAATCACTTGTTTCATGGTTTCTGTCGCTTCTTTAAGAGTTCAGCTTGCTGCCTCTTTGAAGGTAGTGTGTTTTTTCCTTGCTTTTAAAAAGATTTTTCTCTTTTACCTTTGTTACAGTTTTACTGTGATGTGCCTAGACATGGTTTTCTTTGATTTCATCCTGTTTTCATGTCATACTGATTTCATTTATGCATCCTAAGATTTGCAGACCTTCCTGAATTTATGACTTGATATCTTTTGATAGTTTTAGAAAATTCTCATTCAGTAGCTTTTCAAGTATTGCGTCTCCCACAGCCTCTCCTCCAATTACATGTATGTTAAATCTTTACATCCCATTCCACATATCTCTTTTTATGTTTTATTTATTTTTTTTGTTTTTTTTTTAATTAATTAATTAATTTATTTATTTTTTATCACAACCATAGTGTATCTTTTTTTTTTTTTTTTTACGTGTATTCCCCATCCCGGTCCCCCCTCCCACCTCCCTCTCCACCCAATCCCTCTGGGTCTTCCCAGTGCACCAGGCCCGAGCACTTGTCTCATGCACCCAACCTGGGCTGGTGAACTGTTTCACCCTAGATAATATACGTGTTTCAATGCTGTTCTCTTGAAACATCCCACCCTCGCCTTCTCCCAGAGTCCACAAGTCTGTTCTATACATAGGAGTCTCTTTTTCTGTTTTGCACATAGGGTTATCATTACCATCTTTCTAAATTCCATATATATGTGTTAGTATACTGTAATGGTCTTTATCTTTCTGGCTTACTTCGCTCTGTATAATGGGCTCCAGTTTCATCCATCTCATTAGAACTGATTCAAATGAATTCTTTTTAATGGCTGAGTAATATTCCATGGTGTATATGTACCACAGCTTCCTCATCCATTCATCTGCTGATGGGCATCTAGGTTGCTTCCATGTCCTGGCTATTATAAACAGTGCTGCGATGAACATTGGGGTACACGTGTCTCTTTCAGATCTGGTTTCCTTGGTGTGTATGCCCAGAAGTGGGATTGCTGGGTCATATGGCAGTTCTATTTCCAGCTTTTGAAGGAATCTCCACAGTGTTCTCCATAGTGGCTGTACTAGTTCGCATTCCCACCAACAGTGTAAGAGGGTTCCCTTTTCTCCACACCCTCTCCAGCATTTTTTGCTTGTAGACTTTTGGATAGCAGTCATCCTGACTGGCATGTAATGGTACCTCATTGTGGTTTTGATTTGCATTTCTCTGATAATGAGTGATGTTGAGCATCTTTTCATGGGTTTGTTAGCCATCTGTATGTCTTCCTTGGAGAAATGTCTGTTCAGTTCTTTGGCCCATTTTTTGATTGGGTCATTTATTTTTCTGGAGTTGAGCTGCAGGAGTTGCTTGTATATTTTTGAGATTAATCCTTTGTCTGTTGCTTCCTTTGCTATTATTTTCTCCCAATCTGAGGGCTGTCTTTTCACCTTGCTTATAGTTTCCTTTGTTGTGCAAAAGCTTTTAAGTTTCATTAGGTCCCATTTGTTTATTTTTGCTTTTATTTCCAATATTCTGGGAGGTGGGTCATAGAGGATCTTGCTGTGATTTATGTCAGAGAGTGTTTTGCCTATGTTCTCCTCTAGGGGTTTTATAGTTTCTGGTCTTACATTTAGATCTTTAATCCATTTTGAGTTTATTTTTGTGTATGGTGTTAGAAAGTGTTCTAGTTTCATTCTTTTACAAGTGGTTGACCAGTTTTCCCAGCACCACTTGTTAAACAGGTTGTCTTTTCTCCATTGTATATTTTTGCCTCCTTTGTCGAAGATAAGGTGTCCATAGGTTCGTGGATTTATCTCTGGGCTTTCTATTTTGTTCCGTTGATCTATATTTCTGTCTTTGTGCCAGTACCATACTGTCTTGATGACTGTGGCTTTGTAGTAGAGTCTGATGTCAGGCAGGTTGATTCCTCCAGTTCCATTCTTCTTTCTCAAGACTGCTTTGGCTATTCAAGGTTTGTTGTATTTCCATACAAATTGTGAAATTATTTGTTCTAGTTCTGTGAAAAATACCGTTGGTAGCTTAATAGGGATTGCGTTGAATCTATAGATTGCTTATGGGTAGTATAGCCATTTTGACAATATTGATTCTTCCAATCCATGAACACGGTATGTTTCTCCATCTATTTCTGTCCTCCTGATTTCTTTCATCAGTGTTTTATAGTTTTCTATATATAGATCTTTTGTTTCTTTAGGTAGATATATTCCTAAGTATTTTATTTTTTTTGTTGCAGTGGTGAATGGTATTGTTTCCTTAATTTCTCTTTCTCTTTTCTCATTGTTAGTGTAGAGGAATGCAAGGGATTTCTGTGTGTTAATTTTATACCCTGCAACTTTACTATATTCATTGATTAGCTCTAGTAATTTTCTGGTAGAGTCTTTAGGGTTTTCTATGTAGAGGATCATGTTGTCTGCAAAGTGAGAGTTTTACTTCTTTTCCTATCTGGATTCCTTTTATTTCTTTTTCTGCTCTGATTTGTGTGGCCAACACTTCCAAAACTATGTTGGATAGTAGTGGTGAGAGTGGGCACCCTTGTCTTGTTCCTGATTTCAGGGGAAATGCTTTCAATTTTTCACCATTGAGGATAATGTTTGCTGTGGGTTTGTCATATATAGCTTTTATTATGTTGAGGTATGTTCCTTCTATTCCTGTTTTCTGGAAAGTTTTTATCATAAATGGATATTGAATTTTGTCAAAGGCTTTTTTTGCATCTATTGAGATAATCATATGGTTTTTATCTTTCAATTTGTTAATGTGGTGTATTATGTTGATTGATTTGTGGATATTAAAGAATCCTTGCATTCCTGGGATAAAGCCCACTTGGTCATGATGTATGATCTTTTTAATATGTTGTTGGATTCTGTTTGCTAGAATTTTGTTAAGGATTTTTGCATCTATGTTCATCAGTGATATTGGCCTGTAGTTTTCTTTTTTTGTGGCATCTTTGTCTGGTTTTGGTATTAGGGTGATGGTGGCCTCATAGAATGAGTTTGGAAGTTTGCCTTCTTCTGCAATTTTCTGGAAGAGTTTGAGTAAGATAGGCGCTAGCTCTTCTCTAAATTTTTGGTAGAATTCAGCTGTGAAGCCATCTGGTCCTGGGCTTTTGTTTGCTGGAAGATTTCTGATTACCGTTTTGATTTCCATGCTTGTGATGGGTCTGTTAAGATCTTTTATTTCTCCCTGGTTCAGTTTTGTAAAGTTTTACTCTTCTAAGAATTTGTCCATTTCTTCCACGTTGTCCATTTTATTGGCATAGAGCTGCTGGTAGTAGTCTCTTATGATCCTTTGTATTTCAGTGTTGTCTGTAGTGATGTCTCCATTTTCATTTCTAATTTTGTTGATTGGTTCTTCTCCCTTTGTTTCTTGATGAGTCTGGCTAACGGTTTGTCAATTTTGTTTACCTTTTCAAAAAATCAGCTTTTAGCTTTGTTGATTTTTGCTATGGTCTCTTTTGTTTCTTTTGTATTTATTTCTGCCCTAATTTTTAAGATTTCTTTCCTTCTACTAACCTATTCTGGCATGTTTAAAAATGGGCTTATATTCAATTTTAGTGCTATTCTGATCATTTACAGTCATTTTTATTAATCTAGTAAGAAATACTGTTTTCTCATACTAATAAGCTATCCCATTTTTATACTGATAGCTGGATGGATTTTACAGGTTAACCAATTAGATTGCTACATGTCAATTAAATAACTGAAGTATGACCTTGAAATGGTTTGTCCACTTACTTCAATAGTCTAGAGGCCTTAAGCCATTTGATTATAGCATGATACAATCAGTAACATAGGAATTGGTCATTATTATCATCAGAAAAGTTTAAGTGGTTTACTTTTTGATTTAATCAAAGGATTTCTAGTGTTCTCTGTTTAGGCTCTGACTATTGTTCAGGAATATACAAATAACAGGATTATAAATATACAAGGCTTCCCTTGTAGCTCAGTCGGTAAAGAATCTGCCTGCAGTGCAAGAGACCGCGGTTGGATCCCTGGGTTCGGAAGATCCCCTGGAGAAGGAAATGGCAACGCATTCCAGTATCCTTGCTTGGAAAATCTCATGGACGAGGAGCCTGGTGGGCTGCAGTCCATGGGGTTGCAAAGAGTCGAGCACGATTGAGCGACTAATGCACACGACTAACACATAAATAGTTTGATGCACCATACTAACAACCTGTTTTACTTGAATAAGAAAT